CCCCCCCCCCCCCCCCCCCCCCCCCCCCCCCCCCCCCCCCCCCCCCCCCCCCCCCCCCCCCCCCCCCCCCCCCCCCCCCCCCCCCCCCCCCCCCCCCCCCCCCCCCCCCCGAATTACTAAAATATTTCGGTGAAAAAGAGTTATGGACGGCTGGGAGATATCTCACCTTCTTCAGAATTGTTTGCTCTATCAGGCTATATGGTTTGGGAAATTGTTTGACCAAAAACCAGAGACTTGGTTCTTATGATTATGACACACTGTGCTGCGTATATAACATGCAAACGCTTCTTTTGCATATCTTTAGTGACTGAGCCCACCTGTCTAGATATCCTGACCAGCTCAGTTTGTAGAGAATTTCACGAGCTATCCAATGGTATTCCTTTTGAAAAATATATAGGTTTTCATTAAGATAGAAAAAACCTTCAAAGTGAATGTTTACGCCGACCGTTTACTTGGGTTTTTGGTCGCAAAAATTTCTGTAACAAATTTGCGTATCCCAAACTTTTGACGGTGATTCCAGGTAGTACACTGAGAGCACTATCTGCTGCAAGTAGACCGACTTCAACGTAAGTTCATAATAACGAGATCAATTGTTCACAAAAGTGCTTCATGAACCTCCATTTTGCTCTTGCTGTAATGTATAGGTAATAATGTAATGTAATAGGTTTTCGAACATACTCTACAAGATGAGACTACTTAGAAAACAATCTGAAATAGTCGTTGAACTTGGCTTGTCATGGCTTATGTGCAATGGCTCCTAACGTGATCGTTGAATCAGTTTCAGATACGTAAAGTTGAATCGAAAAAACATTTCCTCATCGTCGTGGTCGACTACAACAATGTTATAATGAAAAAGCGTGTAGTGCGTAATTATATTTTAATGTGGTGTGTGTGCGTCAGAGTTGTCATATAAAAAAAAGAACATTTTAAGTGCTAAAGTAATGTGTTACAAAAAATTAAGGTAAGAATAAAAATGACTATTTGTACAAAGTAAAAATTTATTCTTTTTAACAAGATTTACGAAAGAAATCTGACATGTAAGATTGAAAATGTTCAACATTGAATGTTGTTGATTTATATGCAATATACATATCTGGACGAATAAGATAGCATGCTCCACTCTTTTTATTAACATCAAATACATTATAAATTTCACTTGTTTCTTGTGAATAATCATATTTATGTACTCTAATTATATTTGTATAATATTCATCTATAAATTTAGAAAATAATAATTCTCTATCATGTTTGACTTCTGAACTTAATAATAATAAATGAAAGTATGTTATATCATCTTTATCACTATAGAACAAATTTGGATGTGTATATACATAAGGTGTTCTATCACCTGGTTGTACAATACCAATTCTACTATAAGATCCCGATGACAATGGACTTTGATGATATTGTATTCCAATCATTGATATACGTCTGAATATTGATTCACGAAGAAATTGAAAATTTCTCATCACTGGAAATAGAATAAACTGAAGAACGAAGGGTATTACATACAAACGTAAAAAACGTTTAATTGGATTTTGACTTGTCATAAATTCAAATGCACGATCAGTTGTTTGAACCAGATTTTTAGCTACAGTAATTCGTTCATCATTATACGTATTAAGTAATTTATGCATACCATTTTCATTATCAGTAGTTTTCTTTTGAATTGAATAAGCCAATTTCCACGCTAAATTATATGCATCTTGTAGACCAGTATTCATTCCTTGTCCACCAACTGGTGAATGTATATGAGCTGCATCACCAAGTAAGAAATATTTCTTTTGATAATAAAATGTTTCAACATAACGATGATGAGCACGATAAACAGATATCCATGAATAATTATATAACTGAATATTTTTCTGAATACGTTTGGCAAAATTTTGTTCAATATCTTCAAATTGTAGTTGATCTCCTTTATATAACAATTCATGTGGAACAGTACCAAGTACACGCCATCGATCATTTCCTTTCAATGGAAATAAAAGACCTAAACCGTCTTTTGTAACATATACTTCCATTTCATCCATTCGTGATATTTTATTATTATTTATCATCTGTTGTTCATCTTCTTTGTCGTCTAAGAATTTTATTTGACAATCAATAACAAACAATGAGTCTTTATAGGTGCTTCCTGAAAATGATAATTTTAATTTTTCTCTTACTGTGCTATGAGCACCATCACAACCACATAAATATCTTGTCTGAATTTTAATTATTTTACCGTATTCATCATTAGTATAATCTTTAATTGTTACATCAATCAAATCACTATTCTCAGAATTTTGAATAAAATCGACTAATTCACACTGACGATCGATCGTTAAATTATGTTTAAATAAAAAATTTTCCAAGATTTCTTCTGTTAACGATTGTTCAATTATTAGAATATATGGAAATTTACTTAAATTTTTTGTACGAAGTAGTTTCATATCTGTTCTCATTCGTCGAATACCGTTAAAAAAACCACTGAAACCATTGGCAATTACTCCTTTGGATGTTGCTTCCTGCGATAAACCCATTTGATCAAAGATTTCCAGTGTACGAGCATGCATTACAAGAGCTCGTGATTGTGTTGTATGATTCAAATTCTTATCGAAAATACGAAACTTAATGCCATGAAGAGCCAGTTGACATCCGAGCATTAACCCAGTTGGACCTCCGCCTATAATCAAGACGTCTACCACTGGAATTTGAGATAAGGACATAGTCTTCTGTGTTTGCCTTTTCTAAAAATAATTATTCATTGATAGTAAAATAAACAAGATCTAGGTAGATTCGTCTCGCTGTAATGTTAGAGTGTGTTTGTAGAAGGTACGAAAGTAGGTAAGTACGAATTCCGAGTAGTTTTAGTCGAACGAACTAGCGAATATTCTACACAAACAAATGTAATTAGTGAAGAACAATATTTTTAACAATTAACAGAACTAAACAAATGGAATGTTTTACAAAACTGAGCTAAAGTGCAAACGTTGAAAAAATGAGCTGATAGGATATTAACGAGTTAATAAAACGTTCTGTCTCTGTACTAAACTGTTTTTATAATAATTTTATTAGTCATTAATAATATTCCGTGTGATAAAATAAAAACTCTATCACATTGTTGTTCACTTAAAATACCCATAAATCTACTTATATATAACCGAATAACACTTTATTTTGTTATGTACAGTAGTATTAATAAAGACAAGTTTAATTACATACATATAGACACTGTGTCCTTTGGTGTATACAATACACTTAATCGTGACTCACATATCATAATGCACATCGTCTATCGAAAATCGTTTAATTATCGTTAGTGCGTCTATGACTCAGCTCATGAATAGAATAATTAGTATGCTGGAAAAAAGCAATAATTACGATATAAATCCGGAACTAACGCTCGGATAAAATTTCGTCTGCAGAAAGGGAACATCTAATACATCGCATAATAAACATAAAGTTCCAAGAAACTATATTAATCGGACGAAGCGTTATAGAGAAGTGCATGTGACAAACTTTGTATCTTGCGTGTTTCAAATAGTCAGTTTTACTAAAAGCTAAACTTGGCCTCGAGCTATAGGCTATAGCTGCGAAACACAGTAATGCCTGATATCTTGCGATTTCAGATATCAACAAAATACACGAGATTTTAGTGACGTACACGGGATATTAGTAAAACACAGGAAATATTAGCTATGTAGATGAAAAACCACTGAATATCTGAGATATTAGCATGTTGATTTAGGTATCAAGAATTTCCGGGATTTTAGTAAAATACATGAGACATTAGAGAAATACACGAGATATTACGGCACTAAAAGTGCGATTTTAGTGAATACATGAGATATTAGCATATTGATTTATCACAGTGTATTTAGGTGTTAAGAATTCAGGAGATTTTCGTACAATACTCTTTTCTCTTTCGTAGTACAGAACGGGGAACTTTGTAACTAGACGCTATCTGATTATTGGAAAATAAAAGTACCCGTTATTTGGCTTTAACGAAACGCTATTTGGAAGCATTTCTTTTATCTACCAATAATAAAAGACTGCCAACAAATCACACTTTTAATTCCCTAATATCGCGTGTATTTTACTAAAATCTCGGAAAATGTTAATATCTCATGTATTCACTAAAATCACACTTTTAGTGCCCTAATATCTCATGTATTATATTACTTTCTCATGTAGGCGCTAAAATCTCATGGATTGCACTAATATCGCGTGTGTTTTGTTGATATGTAAAATCGCGAGATATCAGGCATCCCTCGCGAGACAGGGTAAAAAGATATTGCGAAGTGAAAAAAAATAGCAATTGTGTTAGAATTTCGACATTCAAAGTTTGTAGAGAGAGATATTAGTCCATTTTTTTACTATTCCTTCAGAATTTGGTCTGTAACAGTGAAGAGTGAGAAAAAAAACACGACGACAGAAAACATAACGGATCGATCAGTAGTACGACCATTTCTTTTGGGGTAGAAAATGCAAGGGGGAAACAGCGGTATTAATACCGAAAAAAATACGACACACTTACTGCTCACATACCCAAATACCGATTGAGTTTATGTTTAAAAGCAGAGATGGGCGAGTCCGAGTCATGCCTCGGACCGGAGTCGACTCGAGTCGTATTTTTCTATGATTCAGACTCGAACCCGAACTCGAGATGAAAGACTCAATAAACTTGATAAACTGACTTGTCACTTTCGGGTCAGTCATGCGCAACTTGGAGTTGTTATTACGGTGTTTATTATATTTGTTGTATACTAGAAGAGAGAGATTTGAGAATATTCTAAGTAGAACATTGTAACACACGAGAGGATTGAAGATCTGTTCTTGGAAAAATGAATCAGGAGGAAGTTTTCCTCTAGAAAATGACTCGAAGTGACTTTAGATGACTCGAGTCAATTTCTGGTGCAACTCGGACTCCGACCTCGACTCGAAGGCTACTGACTCGGACTCGACTCAGACTCGAAAAAGTGGTGACTCGCCCGTCTCTGTTTAAAAGGCAGACATAACTGAGATCTCCATTTTGGTCAGTCTTTTACACTCTTTCTCGTTTTACATAGAACATACATAATCAGCCACACTGAATCTGATGTCAATGTTTAGTTTTAGATAGGAGCACGAGAGTAAGGTAAAAACCGAGTCTTATGAAAATCAGGGTTATCACGCTGTTTTCACCTAATATTGAAAAATTCACAGCTCACTCAGAAACATAAGGACGAGTTGGAAACTTCAGAACGCACGGAATTCAAGCTATTCTATACCCTATTTATACAAAAACCTAGAAAAAAAGATTCTAAAACCATATGGTTTTTTAGAAGGTTTTCCGGATAACTTTTGGACAGAAACATTGTTTTCAATTTCTTTTGATCATACAACTACGTTAAACAGATAAAACTAATATTATCTAGAAGTTTCCAACTTCTTCTGATGTTTCTGAACGAGCTGTGAATTTTTTAATATTAGGTGCTCCACTACTTGTTTATTATACTGCTTTAGATATTTTAGCCCAGAAGTTTTCGGCACTGAAAAGTATTACGAGAAGTTTATTTGCGCGATTTTTATCAGTTTTTGCAGTAAAACAAAGGGAAAGAAATTCACCGATAGATTCGAACAAACAGTGACCTTGGAAGAGTACTAAAATACTGCTTAAATAGCGAAATTGCTGTTTCTACCTTGACAAAATGGTAGGACAGTACCGTTCTAAGAATTTTAAAACGATTACTGCTTTGTCGTATACTCAATCAATCAGGTTATTAAAACTACAGCTTGATTACGTTATTTTTGACAGTTTCTTCAGTCTACTGTATTTTTGCTAAACTTAAGAAGTTTTTTATTTTTATATGGCTGCATAGAGCATTCATTTTTCTATCGAACCACATATTTTATTATCTGATTTAGTCTCCATCTTGCTTGGCTGAGAATTAAGTGAAATTCCAAAAGAATTCCAAAAAGATTTTAGTCATAGAATTTTTAGTGCCTTTTCTCTCAGATGATTATAATCCGCTGGACATTCAGATTTTTTTCACTTTTAAATGGCTGTGTGATTTAGTTGGGAGCTTGTACATAAATTCTACATTATGCGAATAATTCTAACGCCTGTTTTTCTCATTTCTGTAACGAAAAGTGCTAGGTGAATTAAAGTTTATATATATCGATCAATTCATCTACTTGAACATCGTTTTAAGTCAATTCCATTCCATCCTATCATTAAAATCGTACGATGCATCTAGTGTAAGGCGATTTCCAACTAGATGCAACTAGTGAGAAATTACCTTGTTGAGAAACAGTAATTATCGTTTTGCACCATGAAACTCAAATTGCACAAATCTGAGCCTCGCAGATAAAATTAAGGAAATTCAGTTTGCTACTTTTCATCTTCTAAACTCATTGGGAAATATCTCCTTCATAGTGTAGCAAACTTAATTTTCTAAATGTTATAATTCTGCTAGACTCAGCTCTATACAACCAGATCTTCAGGATAAAAAACACTAAAAAACGTTTTTCAGTCTGAAGACCGGTTGCTAGAGACCTGACACCAGCAGAAAAATTTTAGAAAATTAAATTTCTAACATTTCATGTTCGAGACTCAAATCAAATAAATGCTTCTATCAGGGTGAAAAACGCTCATTGTTGTTAATTAGTTATTTTAAATTATGTTTATCCATAACAAGAAAGAGTGAAAAATGTGTATGTATTTGTGTAAGTTCGTGTGGTACAATGGCATATATAGGATAGACTACTAATCTCTAGGTACAGAGTTCGAATCTCTGCACGAGCCATGTTTCTTTTTTTCTTGTTTTTTCATGTCGATTTACAACTGATTATATCACTTTTTATATCTAGCGATTTTTAGGTGGGGTGGAGAGGGGGTCTAAATTCTCGACCAAGATGAGGAATAAATCAGATAAAAAAATATGTTGTTCGATAGAGAAATGAATGTTCTATCGAGCAATATAAAAATAAAAGACTTCCTAAGTTTAGCAGAAATACAGTAGATTGAAGAAAACTGTCAAAAAACGTAATCAAGCTGTATTTTGTTGTATTTTTTTGTCATACTTAGAACACGGACGAAAATTAAATTAATAAGTAGTTTAATTAAGATAAATAGTTAATTAAGTTAACTATTCAGTCGCAATTAAGAACACTTCATCAATTATTCTTTAGTTCTGTTTGACAGAATTCTTACGAAAAGCTTTTAATGGTGCGTTTAATGTATAAACAAATTATACAAGAGCCGCATTGTTTTTTAAATATTGAGAACATACATACCGTGATGACTATGGAGCTATTTCTTCTTCAGTTTGAATATAAAATGTATCCCTATTGTGTTATAAATGCTGCATGCAACTATTTTGTTTTCTGTTAAAATCTTTCAACCTTTCTTCTTTTTTTATATACACTAACCGACTTTCTTGTCCTATTTCTTGCAAGATTCTTGTCTATCAGACGAGAATTATGTATACATTTTTATCTCAAGAATTTTATGTACACAAAAAATTCATCTGTATTTCATTTTTAGTTTTGTTTTTCTTTATGTATGCAGCGTGGTTATACAAGTGCCCATACAGGCATACATTGAAGCAGTAGTTTAATCCTCTGTCGATAAGAATCTTGTTAGAATAATAAAATATCTTGAAAAACTTTTAATTGATAG